GATGCCTTTGCCCCAGGCTCCCCCTTGGCAGAGCTCAGGATGGTCCAGAAAGTTGCAAAGGCTTCTGCCCACCAGGCCCAGAGCATAGGACTCTGGGCCTCACCTGCCTCTGTGGGTCAATGGAAAGGGGCGGGGTGGTCAGCGCCATACTGAGAACAGACACCAGGCTGCCGACTGGGGCATGCTGGTTCCATGCCAGCAGCACCCTGCACCCCTCCAGCCACACCCTGCCCAGCTGACAGGCAGCCCCCCCAACTTGGTGCCCCTAAGACTTCCACCACAAAGGGAGGGCCAGAGGCTTGTCTGTCACTTTGTGAAGGGTGCCAACATGAAGTCTGACCCTGTATGAAACCTTCACTTTGGCCTCCAGTCAGGGTGCTGCCCTCGGTGCCTGGCACTCTTGCCCAGGCTGGGCAGGCCTGGTGGCCCAGCTGTGGGATGGGAAGCCACACCGTGGTGAATGGAGCCCATTTATGTCCTCAACCCAGCCCCACAGCTCCACTTCCAGCGTGAAAAGCTGAATTCACAGTTCCCATGAACAAACACTGCAGGCCTTTCTACAACTGGCCGACTTGGGCTTTGTAGACTGGAACGGGACTGAGAACTTATCCTACAGATGAGGAAACTGAGGCCCAGGGCAGGACAGCCATCCAGCCCCACCTCCTGCCAGCACACCCATACCAGGTCTCCACACCTCTGGGCCTTTCCCTCCCCCTCCACGCCCAAAGCTCCAATTGAAAAGCCTCCTGCTCCTGTGTGAGCATCAGCCCTCGCCCTTCCATTCCTGCAGTATGTCACTTAATCTCAGAATCACAGCCATGTTGGTGCTATCTATGGCAATGCCACCTGCTAGCAGTCACCTGTGCCTAAACCATCCATGTGTGTCCCACTTCAGCCTTCAGCTACCCTGTGGGAGAAGTATGCTTACATATTGTGTTACAGGTGGGGAAACTGAATCCCAGCCACCTTGTCGAGAGCAGGGCTATCTGCTCATCTCTGTCTCCCCTCAGGCAGAAGAGTACTTGGAAAGCACTAGCAAAGGAGGCAAGGCAGGGAGGGGGGGGGCTACTGGCAGAGCTGGGGTCTCCAGGTCACCCGTGACCCAGGGTTCCTGCTGGTTTCAAGAGCTGAAACCTTGACATCACCTGCATTTTATGTGAAGTCAGATTTAACACCCCTGTTTGAGTCAACTGGCCTTATCCTGTTCTGTAGCCACAGCAAGCCCTGCTGTGGGCCCTGTGGGGCAGGGACCTGGTGGAGAGTGAGTGGACAAGGAGATGGGACAGGTCAGTACAGAGCCTTCCCTAGCCACTGGGCTATGTCCACAGTCACCACTGACGCATTCCTCAGCACAGGATGGGGGCCCTCACCTGGCTGCAGCATGTGACGAAGGTCTTAGTTGATGTCGCATGTTCAGCAGGAGGAAGCATTTGTACGTGGCTTTCCCAAACCAGTGGGACTTTGGGCCGCATCAACCAGGGGCAGGGAGGTGAGGGTCCCACCACTTCTGGAGTGCATCCGCATGGGATACGGGGCTGGGAAGGGGTTGGGCTGGACCAGTGTTTCAGAGGACTGCCTGTGTGCTGATAGCCAGCATGGAAGCGGAGAACCTGGAGTGTGCCTGGGCCTCCAGGAGAGGCTGTCTAGAGGCCCAGGGGGAGCAAGGAGCAGCATCCCCGTGAGGAGGTCCACACATGCTGCCCCTTCCCAGGACGGTGGGGGTGGGGCCACATCTTGTTGGTGTCCTCCAAGGCAGGAGGTACTTCATGAAGTGGGGGTGGGGGCAGCCCTGAGTGACACCAGCCACCCACTCACTACTTTAACCTGCTGGACCCCCCCCAAATGGAGGGGCTCCACCTGAGGTCAGGGGCTCGGGGCTGGTTTGTCACCCATTTTGACTCAGGGCTTTTTCGGTTCATTTTCTAAACCCTAGTTTAAAACTTAAAGCATAAAACACTATGATGGCTCGTTTCAGGAAATTTTGTTATGGATTTTATAGCAGAGTTATTCACTCCATCTGTATGATGGAGGGAAGGCAGTGGTCATCGCCATCCAGACACCAGGGCCCTATGTGATGGTGACAAGGATGATGAGGGGTTGACCGAGGGCCTGTGTCACACCTGGATAGGTGCCGTGCCTGTGTCAGATGGGGACCCAAGGCCACAGCAGTCCGTGAATGGCCCAGGGACCCACAGCAAATGATGAAAACAGTAACGCACTTGCCAGCCTCTGTCCTGAGCTCACCACGTACGCAGTGCTAATCCGTGTGTATACTTGCTCGGGTAAACGCCACACACACCCACCCATGAGGCTGCTGTCACCACCTTCTCCTCACAGATGGGGGACGTGAGGCACTGAAAAGCCAGCATCTTGCCCAGAGTGATAGGCAAGGGGCATTTTGGGTGGCAGGGCTGGCCTACATGAGGTGCTAAGGTGCACGTGAGTTTGGGGAACAGAATAACTTGGAGGTGGGGTGGGGCAGGAGGAGAAAGCCAGGGGAACACCTGGGTCACGAAAGGCCAGTGTACCCTTCTGAGGGGCCCAGGAGCTCAGTCGGGAGACAGAGGCTGCGGGAGGATGGGGCACACTGAAGATGTTAGAAATGGGTAAGAAAGGGTTTCAGAACAGGCCCAGTGCCTCTCCTGCTTGGCCTGTTCCTGGTCCCCAGGTGGTCAGTGAGTCACCACATACCTAGGACCTCAGTCTTAACACCTGTGGTGGCCTGTGAGGAGAGGAGAGGAAGAACATCCCCTTAAGGCTCCTCCAGAGGGAACCACGATGACAGCACAGGTGGTGGGCTTCAGTATACAGCACTGTGGGTGTCTGTCACAGAGGGTGCACTGGACCCAGGGGCAGAACCTGGGGCTCCATTCCCCCGGCCCACCTTCCCTACATGGCTGCCTTGGGAGGTCTTCATAAGCTGGAAAACCACGTGTGCATTACAGTGGTGGTTATAAGGCTGTGCTAAAGAGACACGAGTTTCCCCAGTTCCAGAAACAGGTCCCCACCCACAGTCTGCCCAATAGCCTGTCAGAATACAGATACGCTACACATGGGGCGTGGGGAGAGGACCCCAGTCTGGGCATAGTGGCCTGGAGGACACCTGCCATTCCTTCTCCCACAGGCAGGCCAGTAAGCTCTTAAACCAGGGGGAGGTGGATATATTGGATATGGGCCTGTAGGGGGGACCCATACTCCTCTGTGAAATGCAGGGGCTGGACCCAGGTGTCCATGTCACGCCCCACCCAGCCAGGAACCAGGAAGCCAGAAGCAGCCCGCCTGTGACCCAGAATGTGGGTCTGTTTTTGGAGCTGGGGAACTGGTAACTGGGGGAGCTCGTCCATGTACTGGAGGCTATTTTATGCCCCACAAACAGCTACAGGAACACACTGCAGCAGACTGGCCCAACAGGGAGCGAGAGAAGGGCCAGGTCAGAAGGTGCTGACATGGTTACGAGGTACAAGTGGCAAGTGCAGCAGCCCTCAGGTCTCTGGGCGAAGCTTAGGGTCACAGGAGTCTCCCAAGGAGTGCGACTGGCCTGGGAGTCAGAAGGTGCTGACATGGTTACGAGGTACAAGTGGCAAGTGCAGCAGCTCTCAGGTCTCTGGGCGAAGCTTAGGGTCACAGGAGTCTCCCAAGGAGTGCGACTGGCCTGGGACCTGTGGCCGGCACAGAGGTGTCACTGACTGAAATCCGGTCTGCAGAGTCGAGGCCTCTTCCCCTCCATCCTGCCGAGCCTTCCCTCAGCTCCCTCTGTGCTGGAGGCAGACGGGTGCAGGTCTGCCCATGAGACCTCGCTGGTGAGAGGACATCTAGTGCCAAGGCAAAGGGCAGTGGGTGTGACAGGAGAGTGCCCATGGGGCGAGGCCCGGCAGCCCCAGATTCTTCACACATCAGCACCTTTGTCCCTCCTCACAACAGTCCCGGCATTCTACAGATGAGGAAACTGAGGACCAGAGAGGAGAAATGACCTGTGCAAGATACAGCAAACGCTGGTGGTGAGAGTGAACCTCAGAACCTGTGTGCATAACCAGGGACATCTGCCTCTTCGTGTCAGCGGGAGAGCCTCCATGGAGAATGAGGAATGACGGGCCTTGGCCCCCAACAAACCGGACACAGGCTCATCTCCACTCCTCAGCTCACCCCAGCCACTGGCCTCAGAATGTTATTCAAGGAGCTGGTCCTGGTTTGGCCACCGCACGTCCTGGCACCTAGCAGCTGTGCTCAGGGTGAAGACTGCAGACTCAGGCCAGCAATCAGGAAGCCCCTTAGAGATGAGCCATCAGGTCCCCTCCTGGTGTGGTGGGGAAGCCCAGGCCCAGGTGGGTGACACCCACCCACCACCCTGGGGTAAAGTCTATTCAGTAGCATTGAGTATATCTGGACCTATCTAAGCAGAAGCTTTCTTTTTACAAATGGCCGAGAAATTACTTCCATACCACCCTGGCACTGCAGCCAGCCACCCAATGGCTGACACACCTAGTTACAAATCACTGGTTCCCCACTGCCGGGCAGTGAGATTCCCGCCATCACACAGGCTGCTGATGGGAATCATCTGCTCCGTGTTACTTATATGAACGAATGCACACACAAACCCGAGCCTCGTAGAAGGTGCTGTCTCGCTGGTGAGTGGGCCCTGCACAATGCTGGGTGGGCATTGGAACCCTGAGCTGGCATCACAGGCAACTAACAGCAGATGCATTTTCTCCCACAACCGCTGCTGGAGAGGTAAGGCAAAGAGGGCTTCCTGCCAGAGAGGACATTTCAGTCGGTAGGAAGACGCAGGGCTCTCCACTCCAGGTGGCCCCTCTCCAGGCCTCCCATCCCCGTGGGTGAAATGGGAAGCCCTCCCCCTTGCAGCGGGGCTTGGTCATGGGTTACAGAGGTGGGTCCTCTGACTCTGGGGTCTGAGGAGAGCATGTTCATGTCTGGCTGATGTGCTAGCTGTGGGAAGTCAGGTGACTCCAAAGCTGCCTGTGGCTTGGCCCCAGTCAGACTTCATGAGGATGCTGCCCTACCCCATCATACCTCCTCCATTTCCCTCAGCAGCAGCTCTGAGCCGTGACACGAAGCGGGCAGAAGTAGAACAGGTGGGAGGGTGGAATCCCACTTAGGCTGGGAAAGGGCCACAGCTGGCACCCAGGCTTTGCACACCCACCAAAGGGCAGGAAGTGCCATGGGAGTCCCCAAAGGCCAGATGGAGGGGCTGGGACTTTATCATGGTGCAGGGCGCACAGCCAGTCATGTGCTGTAAGAAGATGGGTGGGGGCTTCCTGGAAGAATGGGTCTTAAGCGAGGCCCTGTAGGGTGACCAGAACAGGGACAGGTGGGTAGTGCTGCAGGGTGAGGCCCTGGAGGCCAGGCAGGAGGCGTGCCCAGGGCTTCATCCCTCGCATGCTCACTTGTGTAGAGTTACAGCCCAAATAGCAGGGCTCCTTTGTTCAATAATTGTGATTTAAGGTGTCAGGACGCCACTCTCCCCACCTGTTTGTGCTTAGGGCTGCAGGAGCAGAGACTCCACTGTGACGCCAGCTCCCAAGGCTGCAAGGCACCCATGGGCCGGGCATGGGGTATGGGAGATGTGCTGGGTACAGGGTCAGAAGATGAGACTGGGGCTCCAGCACTGCCTTTCCCTCCACCGCCTCTACATTTGGTCTTTTGGACCCAAGTACAAGATTCCTGGGTTTGGGCTCCTGAATTCTGCCATGCAGGGCCCAGCCAAGAAATGGGACCAGGCATCTACACAAATAGAGATTTTATTGTTTTGTTATTCTTTGACACCCGTCATCTCCCAGAGATTTGCTAAATGGTGGCTGATGTGGTTCACCCATGGTTTGTCCCAAGGAATAGAGAGGAAACTGGGAAACCTGAGCCCGAAAATGTCAGCAAAGCAAGAGGATGTCCAGGTGTGGCTGGGAGATGAGGGAGGGTCCCGAGCACAAGAGCCACCTGTCTGTCATCCAGACGAGACTAGATCCTGGTGAGAGCACACGTGCAAGGTACTGTGCAGTCACTCAGGACATGCCCTGCCTCCTCTGCCCTCTGGCTGCCTTGTGAAATAAGTGCCTGAGTTTCTGTGACCTCTGAGTCAGGAACAGGCTCAGAGGGTTGTCCAGGGTCCCTAAAGTCCGTTCAGAGGCATCAGCAGGAAAGTGGCTCAGAAAGGGTGGAAGGGGCTCCTGGCGCATTAGGACAGCTTGGGACTGAGGGGAATGTCAAGCAGGAAGAGTGGCTAACATGCTGCAGGGATAAGGGGTGTCCCCATGGGCTGCTGCCCTATAGAGGACCAGCTCATAGAGCCCTCTCTGTGACATACGGTCAGCACACAAACACAGTTTCGGCATGTTGAGGTGGCCCTCCTGACTCTCCTCTTTCCCAGGCTCCACTGCTGCCCAACAGCTGCTGTGCTGAGCTGGGTGCAAGAGCCACCCCCAGCTGCCACCCCAAGTGGCCCAGCAGGGTTCCAGGAGGCAGGCCTAGGCCCTAGCCCCCACTCAGTCCTTGCCCACCCACACTTGAACTCCAAGTCTGTACCCTGCTGGTGACCAGACTATCCACCTCCCAGCCCTGGGGAAGCTGCTGCCTCACCCCCAGATGGCCCTGCTATCCCTGCCTGGCCTCTGGTCCACAGTTCCAAGGCTCCCGTCTCTGGGGTTCCATCACCTGCCATGAGAGCTGTCGACCTGTCAGTGGCCCTGGCTCAGGGCATGCTCAGCAAGCATCTGCTCAATGAATTCATGCTAATGACTGTATCTGTTATTTATCTGGTGCAAAATTGGGGGTCAGAAGCATAGCCCCCAATTATGACATCATTCCTATGAGAAATGACAGCTCCATTACCACAGTCATCTTTACGATGTGGCTTCCAGGAATCCATTAGAGCTAATTACTCCCCCAATAGAATGTAACATTCCTAGACCACCACTTATCTCACATTTGGGAACATCACGGTCAAGTTCAACTACAGAGGCACTGGCTCCTCCAGGCTCCGCTGGGATGGGGATCCTGCATCCTGTTTCTCTCTGCAGAATGGTCAACACACCTCACCTCGAGACCTGAGACCACTGACTTGTCAGTTTCTATTATTTCCAAGCTTGTCCTAAAGGAACAAGATCAGTTCTGAGAAACGTGGTCTCCCAGGTGGGGACAATCCCAGGGTACCTCTAGGCATCCTCTCCTTCCCCACACCTGGTTCCTTCTTGGCACAGACGCCACCAGAGCCATTTACCTCAGAAAACTCAGAGGCTCTGGAGAGCGGGTTTATGTGTGACCACCTCCTGGGGGTTCACCCTGCAGGACCAGCAAGCCTAAAGCTCTTGGCCGTGGGACTTGGAGCACATTTCCTGCTTCTCCAAGCCTCAGTTTCTTCATCTGTCAAATGGGAATACCATCATCAGTGTCACCACAGTCATTGGTGATACCAGTACCTCGAGTCCATATTGTCAACACCAGCTACAGTTAGCATTGTCATTACTATGGTCATTGGTAATATAAACTGGTCAGAAAAGTCCTTAAATCTGAAGCGTCAGGTCTGAATTAATTCGGTTGCAGACTTTAAACACTTGGCATGTTCAGTTTATCTTAAAAGAAGGGGCAGCTTTTACCAGCAGCAATTCCAAGTAGTAGGTCCAGGTAATTATTCCTCTTAAAAGGCAAAGTTGTCAGTTTTGTGGGGAAACAGTGGGTTTGAGAGTCAGGCAAAAGCATTATGCTCCTTCAAAACCCATAGTTACTATAACATGCTTAAGGTCCTCAGAAAGAGGATTTAAAGAACAGACAGGTGCTGAGTGGGGGCCAGGTGCCACGCTCCATGACTGGTCACTGCCGCCTCCTGGGCTGCTCTCCTCCGTTCTCTGCAGTTACCAAGCCCCCAGGAAGTGGAGCAGGATCCTGCCCCCAGCAGACAGGTGGAACAGATGCACCGCAGCAGCTCTTGAGAACACCCATGGGCAGGGAGAGGGGCCTGACCCAGGCTGGCATTTCGTTCCCAGCTCTCATGAACTGGAGGCTTTGGTTACAGCAGGTTAACCCTCCCCGACCCTGGCTGCCGATTGATGGTACCGCACAGAAGGATCAAGGTTTTGAAGGACGGGGCCAAAACCCAGGCAGGGCAGAAGCTGCCCGCGCTTATGTTTCGGGAGATGTGATCTGACAGTGGCTCCCATGGAAGACTTGTGCTTTTGCTTGCAAGTGTGGGCCAGGCAGGGGGCAGGCATCAGAAAGATCGTTGCGCTTATGTTTCCGGAGATGTGATCTGACAGTGGCTCCCATAGAAGACTTGTGCTTTTGCTTGCAAGTGTGGGCCAGGCAGGGGGCAGGCATCAGAAAGATCGTCAGGGTGAGGTCAGAGGTGCCCAGGTCCACAGGGATGGAGAGGGTTGGGCTGAGCACAGCTACAGCCCCTAAGCCACATGTTGAGGTCACTGACCACTGGCGCCCAGAGGAGGGACTCAAAAGGAGCAGGAGAGATTCTTCTAAATATGTTCCAGGCTTTCAGAGCAAGGAAGAGCATTGCCAGCTATTTCTGTGGGAGGCGGGTGAAGACAGATTTGACCTGACAGAAGAGGATTCTCTTGTGGGGGCCAGCACTGGGCTGGGAGACCCTGCCAGGGGGGCTTCTTCCCTGCAGGGCTGCAGGTCTAGGGTCTGTGTTTGCTGTGTGCCTGATTAACGTCAGCACTTTCCTCCCACAGAGTCGAATGGCAGAGAGCCTGCGCCTTTTTGATTCCATCTGCAACAACAACTGGTTCATCAACACCTCGCTCATCCTCTTCCTGAACAAGAAGGACCTGCTGGCGGAGAAGATCCGGCGCATCCCGCTCACCCTCTGCTTCCCCGAGTACAAGGGCCAGAACACGTACGAGGAGGCCGCCGTCTACATCCAGAGGCAGTTTGAGGACCTGAACCGCAACAAGGAGACCAAGGAGATCTACTCCCATTTCACCTGCGCCACCGACACCAGTAACATCCAGTTTGTCTTTGATGCGGTGACAGATGTCATCATACAGAACAATCTCAAGTACATTGGCCTTTGCTGAGGAGAGGGTCCCAACCCATTTGCCTGTGGTTAAACCTGCGGGGTGTCGCACCCCAACTTGTGCTAGAGAGGCCCAACCCAGGGGCAGAAAATGGGGGGCCTGAAGAATGTCCCCCCACCCCTCAGCCTCTGCCTCCTTGGCCCCACGTTTCCGCAAACAAATATATATGGATAAATTGCTAGGTAGGTAGACACATACACACACACGTACGTACGCCTGGAGATGGCAAAGTTCTCCAAAGCGTCGAGGTCTCTTGAAGACTTGAGAAGCTGTCACAAGTTCACTACAAGCCCATCCTGCCCCTTCACTTTGCCTTCCTGAGTTGGCCCCACTGTGCATGGGGGTCTGCATTGGACACTGGGGAGAGGTGGCAGGGCTGGGGCCGGGTGGGGCTGGGTTGGGCCAGCTGCGCCTCTGTCGCCTGGAGGAGGGCCAGCTCACCGCCTGAGCTCCGGCCTGGGGACCTTGCCACTGACCAGGAGGGAGGACCAGAGCAGGGTCCGTGCACCCTCCCTGCTGGCCACACCCATCACTGGCCTACACATGGCTGCTCTGTACCACATCCGTTCCAGACCCGGGACCTTAGGAGCCAGGTGACAGCACTAACCAGACCTCCAGCCACTCATAGCTCTTTTTAAACAGCTTCAAAATATGCAGCAAAAATCAACACAATACATGAGTGGCACCATCTATTTCAAACTAGGCCAGCTGGGATTCCAGCTTTTCTTCTACTAGTCTGTTTTATAAATCAAAACCTGGTTTTTCTTCTCTGACATCCTTTTTTTTTTTTTTTTTTTTTTTTTTGGCCAAATCTTGTGGTGTTTCGCAGAAAAACAAAAATACAGAAAATTTCAAATGCAATTGAGTATTCTTTTTTAAATGCAAATTTTCAGAACTTTTTTTTTCAGGTGGTCCTTTTTGTGTCTGGCTTGCTGAGTGTAAAAGTTGTTATCTGGACGATTCTGTCTCTCTGCTCCAAAGACATTCTAGGACGAACGGCAGTCCTGCAGCAGCCTCGCAGGACAGGTGTACATAAGCCTCTGCAGCGTCCTCTTGTTACTGGTGCAGTTTTCCGCTTTGTTTTTATTTAAGAAAATAAATGTGATGTATTTAAAGAAGGTTCTTCACCTAGGAGCAAATGAACAGTAGCTAAATGTCTTGGTATTTAAAGAGTAAATTATCTGTGGCTTTGCCAAGTGAAGGAAGGGGAGGCGAGAGATGGCACCTGCTAGTCTCCACACACCCCGTGCCTGAGATGGGCTGGCAGCAGCTGTGACTCCTGTGAAGGCACAGCCAGCGTTGTGGCCTGAGGGAGGCCCTGCTGGGACTGTGCTCTGGGCCTTCCTGCCCCAAGGCCTGTGGACACCTGTGTGAAAGGAACTTCGCCGAGGGCTGCGTGTAAATATGAACGCCCGCCGCCAAGACGGGAGGCCCCGCCAGAGCCCTTGCCAAATCTTCCTCTCACCCTTTGTTCGGTACCCGTGTCCAAGGTCAATGTGCAGAATCACAGCCAAGGACTTTAAGAGATGTACAGAGGGCAAGAGAGGAGCTGGTGATCATATGAAAGTCAAAGATTGTCTACTTTATGAAAATAAAATACGCTGAATGGAGCCAAGCCTCGTCCTGGTGTGCCGTGTGAGTGGCTGACGTGTGGCTAGACTTGGTGCTGTCTGGGAGGGTGGCTGGGGACACCTTCCACGCTGAGTTTCCTTTTTCTCCTTCCCCACCCACACACCTCCACACATTTAGGTAAAATCACTTTGTAATGAACGTCAAGAATAAACCTCAAGAAGCTGCAAAAGAGAGGAGACCAGCGAGGCCCATGCAGCCCAAGGTGCAGAGATTTCGGGGGCGATGATGGCTCCTGCCCCTCCTGTAGCCCTCAGGACTCCTCCCAGCACTGGCCCAGACTGCACTATCACCCAGACCCCTCACGCCCTGCAGACACATCTGCCAGGGTCAGAGTCATCCCCACAGCACGGAAGGGTGCCCAGAAATCCTGTAGGGTGCCTGTGTCAGGAAGGGGCCAACCACCACAACAGTATAGGGCACACCCTACAGTGTGCTGGGGGGGAGGGGACCCCAAAGGCCCACTGCTCGCTGTCTGGTTCATGTAGTAGAAAGAGCTGATTTGAAGTCAACGAAGTATGTTCACCAAGTACCTGCTGTGAATCAGATACTGAGCCAGACTCCTTACAAATTATTTTATTTAATTTTCTCCATCTCAGCAGGTTGCCAGCAGTGACCCATTTTACAGATGAGGAAGGGAGCCCAAGTTGAGCTGGGATTCACCAGGCCGAGGACTTGTCTTCCTCCTGGGGGCAGTGCCTCCTCGAGGCCTGGGTCCTCACATAGCCCTGCACCTGGACAGGACGGGAGCCCACAGGGAGCACAGAGCAAGGCAGGACCTCGAGCAAAGCCCTGAGTGGTGGGTAGCAGACGTGCACACACGCATGCACACAAACACATGCACACTCGTGCAGGTACATGCACTCAGACACACACGGCCCTGGCTCTCTCGCCGCCCCACCCCCATGCCCACGCCCACATGGGGATTCCCTTCACACCTTCCTACATCACCAAACAGCAAGAACCCAAAGGGGCTCTTGTTAGGAGGAAATAACATGTGACTTAAAGTCGTTGAAACTTATTTTGCCCACGCCCACATGGGGATTCCCTTCACACCTTCCTACATCACCAAACAGCAATAACCCAAAGGGGCTCTTGTTAGGAGGAAATAACATGTGACTTAAAGTCGTTGAAACTTATTTTGTGTTTTAATGCCAACTGTGAAAAGGAGTAATTACACCGTGAGCAACTTTAACCTAAAAATACACAGCAAAAGGGAAAAAGGATTCTGCCTTCTTTTCTGGTGTGTGCAGGGATCAGAGGGGGCCTTCCCTGGGAAAATGTTTCCTCCTGGTTCCCAGAGCCTGGTCAGCACTCCAGTCGCCACAGCTCCCCACAAGCTGCAGACAAGCCCCGACCCAAACTTTAGCATCTGCTGTGCAGCTTGGCCTGCGCTGCAGTTCATCTGCACCGGTTCTTCCTCTCACAAGCCTGCCACGTCCCCCCTTGCTCACTCTGACCCCTGTGCGCGACATGCCCTTACCCATCCCTCAGGGTCCAGCTCAGAGCTACCTGAGTGCCTCATCGAAGTCCCCTCCCTCCCTGCACTCCACCTCCTAGAGCGCACACTCCAGGGCAAGGTGGGGCGGGGTGTTGGCAAACCACTGAGCCCCCAGGGAGCAGCTCGAGGGCAGGACACTCCTGCCCCATCTGACCCACCTCCTTCCTCCCAACAGTGCCCGTCCGGTGGGAAAGGCACATGCTGAGCTGGGAGGGTCCGGGAGAGGCCTACTGAGGGCAAACGTCCATAGACTGCCTTCGCCAGGGGGAAATGAGCTCAGAGACTCACAGAATGGTAAGAGGAAGCCAGAGCTGGCAAGAGGGAGGCTGAAGGGGAGGAGCTGGGGGCAGCTGGGGCCGGGCCCCACCCTCTGCAGGTGACTAATCCCAGCCTGGTCCCATTACCCCTACCCACTACATGCAGCCCCAGCCTCCTCTCCCAGGACGCACCACCACACAGTTCCTCATGGGGTATTGCCATCCTCCCCTGCAGCCCATGTGGCCACCAAGGTGGTACAACGGGGCAATGACAGTGGTCATGATAATCCTAACTCCCATCGATGACTGCTCTCAGCACACCACCCTCCTGGGAAGCCAAGATTACTGGTTCTGTTTTACAGAAAAGAAAGCAGAGAACCTGAGAGGGGATGACTTCCCAGCATCACACAGTGCGTGACAAGTGACTCAGCCAGGTCTGGGGCCCAAGGGGCTACACTCTGTCTGTCCACACTCCCCAGAGCCCCACAGCAGACACACCAAGCCCTGGTGCCCTGCTTCTCTCACAGCCATCCAGAACAAATGGGCCCGGGCAGTGGGCCCAGCTGGCACAGGGCAAATGCCAGGGAGGGCTGCACTGCACCATGAGGGGCCATGGGGCCACACCAAGGCTGAACAACACCCTGGGGGCCTCACCTTACCAAGACAAGCCTAGGCCAGGTGCCAACAGGTTCAGCCCAGCACATGTCCTAGGAGGACTTGAGCCTTTGGTAATTCCGTTTATAAGGGGCTGTCCCAAACTGCCTGGGAAAAGTATGAAAACCACCTAATGAAGGCTGGAAAAGGCCGCCTGCCCGGACAGAGTGCAAGCATGGCCACTGGGACCATGCCAGGCTTGACCAGGCCAGACAGGGAAAGGCTCTCTCCTGCTGGAGGGGGAGAGGGACGGCAGGGAAAGGGAGAGGAGAGGAGGCATCTAGCAGGCACAGCAGGCAGGGAACCAAGTGGGCAGGGTGTTCCCATTGGGGGGGCGTCATCCCAGCTAAGCCCAGAGAGGGAAACAACAGCTGACCAAAGACTATCAGGCAAGGACGTGCCTGCAGCCCTGATGCACCCCACCCTGAGTGCAGGTGAGAAAGGAAAGGCCCCACCGCCCTGAGGCAGCTGGCCTCCTGCCTCTGCCCTGTGGTGTCAGGGCCAGGAGGTGCAGGGGGCTGTCTGGGCCACCTCGCAGGCAGCTGCTGAGGAGGGATAGGGGTGCGGCGGCAGGCCTGGTGGCAGCTGCCTGCCTGGGGCTGAGGCACACCGCTGAAGGGGGAGAGCATCCGCTTTGCTTCTCCAGCAGCCCCTCTGCCTCAGGAAGCAGCCTGCCTCAGCCTTCAGCTCCCCCTGCACATAGCATGTCCAGATTTCTCTCTAGCCCAGAAACTACAACTCCAGGGATGTCCCCTGCACCTTAAAATGAGACGGGGATCAAAACTGCATCCAGACATGTCCCCCAGCCACACCCTGCTTCCCCCGTACCCAGCCCTGCTCCTTTCTGAAGCCAAGAACCAGTTGCCACGGGTGGGTGGGGTCCAAGCTTTTGTCGCTGCCTTCCTCACCCTCACTGGCTGGTGCTCTCCTCTGGGCTGGGAGGAGCCCCCGCCTCCACCCCCAGAGCCTGACCCAAGCCCAGGCTGCACACATGAGGGGTCAGGGACAGAGCAAGTCCCACCACACCACCACTGAAGCTGGGCACAAGGAGGGGACGACAGGAGGAAGGGTCAGGCCACACCCACAGGTGTTCCCTGTCAGGGCCCGTGGGACTGGGCGTTGGACCCTTCTAGGGGGCCCTAGGGCTGTTCAGCTGCACCCCAAAATCTGGTTAGAGAAGAATCTCAATTTCAGCATCACAGCCCTCTCTCTCAGAACACCTAGCCACACAATGACACCTGTTTTCACATAGGGTTAGCAGAAGCAGGGGAGGGGGGAAGGATGACTATGGAATCCTGTGTTGCCGCGCAGGGCCCAGCTGACGAGAGCCTGGGCTGGCAGCCTCTGCGTGGCATTTGCCTCTGTAGTCCTGGGTTCTCTCCTGACACGGCACAACCATGGGGCATGAAAAGCCAGCCCAGAAGGAACAGGCAAGAAGGCAGAGCTGTGGCCCACGTGTGGCTGAGTGGGGCAGCTCCCACCGCGGCCCCCGTGGCATTTGCCTCTGTAGTCCTGGGTTCTCTCCTGACACAGCACAACCATGGGGCATGAAAAGCCAGCCCAGAAGGAATAGGCAAGAAGGCAGAGCTGTGGCCCACGTGTGGCTGAGTGGGGCAGCTCCCACCGCGGCCCCCTGCCAGGCCAGGGCCCTGTCCTGTCCCCAGTCCTGGAGCGCCCCCTGCTGGTTATTTGGAAATCGTGCAGCAAATCAGACCTGGCAGGGCACAAGCATTCAGAGGGAAGACCTTCCAAACATTCTCCCACAGACACCCTGCGTTACAGGTGAAGAAACTGAGGCACAGTGGCTGGAACACAGCAAGGGGCCCAACACGTTTGTCAAATGAATGAATGATCAGGTGAGTGACTTGTAGCAAGAAAACAACAAATGATGCTTAAAAATATGACATAAAACCTGCTAAACAATATTTGTTGACTACTAGCCACATGCCAGGTGCTATGCCAGGTGCTATGCCAGGTGCAGAGGGTGCTATGGTGAAAAAGGCCTTCCAGTGTGGCCATGGATAGGAAGCCATACTAATGACCTGACATTAGCTGGCCGAGCCCTTCATACAGACTGCCCCAGGTAATCCATGCAGGTGATGGAAATCAGGCTCCCTCCCACAGGCTCGCCACTGCCCCAGATCACACACTGATAAGAGTAGAGCCACTGAAATAGATGCCCTTACCCCACCCAGAGGCCCAGCGAGGACACTACCTGGGGCACAGCCACACTTGTCAACCCCAAATCCTGTGGCTCAGAGTTCCCTGAGGATAAACCCGGGGTACCTGCCAGACTGCCTCCCTCCCTTCATTCATCCAGCCCCAGCCACTGCTGCACATCTCTCATCAGGGTGTCCCAGGTCTCCTTCTGGGCACTTCACAGATGACAAGCAACACCCAGGAAATCCTCTGATAAAGGGTGGAGGCTCACCACCCGGCCCCCAGTGAGGCTTTCGCTCATAGGGCTTGTAGGTACCACAGACCCCTGCTCCTGATGGTGCAGCCAGTGTCTGCAGATTACAGAAAACTCCACAGGGAGGAGATGGGGAGGTATCCACCAGCACTCAGATTATCACCAAGCTTTTGGAATTGAGGCAGTGTTGACTTAGCAAGGCTAGAAACAAACAAAAATCCCTTCCAGGTACCTGCATGAGCTAAATGTGAAAAGCAAAACTCTTACATTTTGGAAGAAAGTATGGCAGAATCATCTCCATGAGCTCAGGGTAAATAAGGATTCTCTTACACAGCATCCCAAAGAAAGCACAAAGGAAAAAGATGAAACTGACTACATTATTCAAATGAAAAACTGCTGGGCCAATAAATCAACAAATAAATAGTGAAAAGCCACACAAACAGCCCAGGAAATGGTATTTGCAATCTAGGTAACCAACAAAGGGTTGGAATCCAGGATGAATGATACAGCCCCTCAAATCAATAAGAAATGGACAAACAACTCATTGACAGAATGGGCCCGGGCTCCCTGAAGGCACAGGGCAGGAGGGAAGCCTGAAGAGGCACCAGGCAGAGGTGAGTTGCTCCTTCTCACCAGTCACTGGGGACGGCGCAGCCACACCAGGGTGGAACGCACAGCACACCCGTCAGGCAGCTGGCGAGGGTGCTCCTGGGCTCCCTCACTGGGGGAGGGTGGGCTAGGAAGCAAGTGTGTCAGGCAGGCGTGCAAGGCCTAGCAATGCCCTCCCCAGCAGAGGCCCTAGCAGGGACCCTCCCTCATATGTGCCAGGAAGACCTAAGCAGGAATGCCCCCTGCACAGTCCTTCTGCATCACAGGGGCCAAAGAACCCACATGCCTGCAACGGGTGTGGGTGAGGGTATCTCAATACATTCACACAGCCGGATTGTGCAGCGGTGGGACAAGTATAAATCTCAAAATTATAACATTGTGTTTTTTCAGGTTTTTTAAGTGGCAGAAGGATACATACAGCAAGATCCATGTACATCGTTTTAAAACATGCAAAGCAAGGTTATATAGATATATGAAGGTACTTCAAAAAATTCATGAAAAAATAGAATTAAAAAACAATATCATTTTTCCATGAATTTTTTGAAGATCCCTCCTATATATAGTCTGTACGTAATCACATCTGTGTTAAATATAAAGACACGCATTGGGATATAGTTACCGAATTACTAGTGGCTCAAGGAACGGCTGGACAAAGGGTGCTGGGTCGGGGGAGGTTCACAGGATGCTTGGACTGCATCTGTGATTTTTTTCAAACAAAAATCTCAAGCTAATATGAAATGTAAAATGTTAAGATTTGGCAAGGCTGGGTGAGAGTAGTCAACGTGCATTATCATCGTCTCTATACTTCTCTAAATGCTTTTCATAGGTTACAGTAATGGTGGTGAGAGCACTGGGTGAGAGCAGCAAGTCCCCTTTTGTCCACTCCTTGGGGTCCTGCCCTGTGGTGAGCACAGGGCATTCATCTACCTCAGCCCCAGCACTGGCCTCCACAGAGACACCCCAAGAGCCCAGTGGCTCTCAACCCCAGGCACGTGTGACAATCATCCAGGGTACATTTAAGAAATGTGACTGCACGGCCCCCACCCACCCACCCTCCCCCACAGAGACTGATCCTGCTGGCCTGGGATAGGGCCAGGGATACAGTGGTCTTTTAGCCTAGCATGCTTCCCAACACCCAGCCCAGCCCAGCTGGAGGAAGGTGTGCCACAGGGGCCAGGCAACAACCCTAGATCCCCAAGGGCTCTGCTCCATTCCGCCTGCCGACCTGCACCTGACCCTATAGTCATCTCTCTCTGGGCCTTAATCCCAAGAGTATCACAGGTGCCCTTGAACATTTATGCCTTAGGTGTTAGGAAATAACCCATGCAGGGGCACCCAGGGAGCAAGGGGAAGGACCGAGGGAACCCAGATTCGTCTGACTCGTGGGCTACATCTCTTTGTCCACCTTTAGCTAAAGTATCTGCTTTGAGGCTTCAGATCAGGCCTCTTGGAATGAACCCCTCCTTTAAAAATGATCATTGTATCATGCAACTGGGCAGATGTCAATCTGACATGAATCTCAACCCTCTAGCTGTGGTTGGCGGGTGGCTGCTACCCTGACTCCCCATCTAGTTAGCGTCTGAAGTGGACCTTGGGCCAGGGTGGAGGTGGCCCTCAGTGACTATGTACACAACAGTGCCTCTGTGGCAGCCTTTTTTAGTCCTTAAAAGGGTGCTATGGCACTTCACAAAAGAGGACATTTAAATGGCCTCCCCTTTAATCACCAGGGAAATACAAATTAAAATAATAATGAGATATTACCATACGCCCACCAAAATAACTAAAATAAAAAGAAAAGATCGAGTGTTGGTGAGGATGTATAGCACCTGGAACTCTCATATACGGCTGGTAGGAGTGTAAATTGGTACAACTATTTTAGAAAACCATTTGGTAGTACCTTCTAAGGGCTGAACATGAACTTACCCTATGCCAGCCATTCTACTCCTAGGTATATCTCAAAATAAATGCAAACATGAGTTCATTAGAAGACATTTATAAGAGTGTTTATAGCTACTCTGTTCTTGGTAGCCATAAGCTAGAAACAATTCAAATGTCCACTAGCAACAGAATGGATGAATAAACTGTAGTACTCACAGAATGTGACACCAAACCACAGCATAAATCAGCAAAAATCAGTAATACATAACACACATGAATCTCAGAAACAAAATGTTGAGCAAAAGAAGCCAGAAGCAAAATGCTACAAACTGTATGTTCCATTTATGTAACGTTTAAAAAGAGGCATAAACTAATCTATCATATAAATCACAGATACTGTTCACCTTTGGGTGAGGGGTAGTAACCGGTGTGGGGCATGTGGAAAGTTTCTGGAGTACTGATTAAATTCTGCGTTTCTTGATCTGGGTAATGGCTACACGGCATGTTCACTTAGTGCCATTTAATCAAATGTTTGTTTGTAGCATGTGCTCTTTTAATACGTATGTTGTACTTTAATAAAAAGTTAACTCTTAAAAAACACCATGCTGTGGCCATGATCTGCAGCCTGGCACATGTGCGACCTGGAGTAAGGCCCACAAGCAATGCAAGCGCCCACCAGATCCAGGTGCAGGATGCAAGCCTACCTGAAGGCAGCTGGGCCAGTTGCTTGTAGGTTTGATGCAGGTTCTCCCGGCAGATCCGTTGGGGATCGTTCAACAGGAGGGCCAGGGCAGGGATGATATCGTGCTCTAAAAAGCCATCTCTATGGAAGGGAAGGCAGATTGAGACATAACTAAGACCTTGCCCAGAGAAGATCAAATAGGGGCAGAGTCACCTGCCCCTGCTGGAATAAGTCCGTGCTTGCTGGGGCACATTCCTCTGCCCCGTCCTAATCGGGGCTCAGACTCAGGCTCTTTGTGCCCCTGGACCCTTATTTTCACTCTTCTGAGGCTCGGTCTCATCATCTGTAAAATGGAGATAAGGCCACAGAAGCTTGTAACCCACCTTGCCTGAACTGCGGGCTGAGTTCCGGGCAGCAGGCCTGGCAGGGCCACCCCTCATGGCCCCTCCCTCTCCTGTTCTCCAGCTCATCTGGGAACCTGCCAGCATCCAGCTGCTTGCCTCCAGACCCACGTATCCTGTCATGCTTGTTGTTATAATTATATAAGTTAATTAAATATTAGGTAAGCCAATTGGATGAGAGGAGGTGTTTTTATTTTTTAATTTCCTTATGAAAAATAGTTGACTGCTATAATATATATACTAGTTGAAGACTCAAAAGTGAATCTAAAAAAAAGATTCTAGAAGGCTTTTGCATGCAGATTACTTCATTAATGTCTCTGAGTTCTTTTTCTACTTTAAAGAAACTGAAGGTGCAAATGATGTTGTAAGTGATTTAAACAAAAAAGATGACGGGAAATGGACCCATAACCAAGAAAAGGCCTGAGTCCCATACAGGGATTGTTGGATGCCTTTTCATTTGTGTTTTGGGTTAAAATGAATTGTTTAAAGGAAATATAGCAACAATGTCTTTGGTTCCTTGCTTTGTAGCCATTTCTTGATTAACCAACTCACTGCTCTGCTAGGCCTGACTGCATCTGGTAAGAGGGCTTCTGAAGTCACATCTCTAAGGGCTGGGTTTGGGAATAAATAAGTCATGTGTGAAGCCCTCAGGCAAGTGCCCAGCACACGGGAAGTGTCCAACCAACTGTGCTATTGCGGCATTGGCCAGGCTTAACCTTAAGGTGTGTTTTGAATCGTTCTGGGAGAAGAAAATCACAGTGGGACACACAAGTTGCAGGAGCCTTCCCTGACTGCCAGGTCCTGCTCGGTCAGTGCCTTCGAAAATCAGTTGTGTTTCCCAGTAGAGCGTGTGCCCCTCTTACCAGAGGCAAGCAAGAAGGCAGGAGCCAGTCTGCCCAGGAAGCTCTCCTGACTATGAGAATGTCATGTGAATTTTCTCCTCGAGGTGACAAGATGCCAAGCCCGGGACCACCATCCTCATTTCCCCTTCCCATCACTACTTGTGTGGACAGAAGGGTTTCAATGTGGGCAGTTCAGGGCAGTTACATAGAGTTATGCAGAGCTCCATAGAGCCCCGTAGGCTCCGCAGGCTCTGCAAGCTGTTGGCTTTAGTTATAAGATCACCATTGAACCTAGGGGAAATTTAGAAGTTGGCCACATTTACTTTTGGCCCTTTGCCTGTCCAATGTGATATGGTGGAGAGAGCCCAAGTTTGGGAATCCTAGGCCCTAGGCACACAATGTTAATTCTCTCAGGTCTTCTCCCCTTGTCGGGTGGTGTGAGGCAAGGCTGAGAACTCTGAATGAGCATGCTGGCCAGACCATATCAGGTTCTCCATCAGGGACAGTTTCTTCATCACATCCTCCTGCCTCGATAACATGGGCACAGCCAGGACCCCCCAAGGCAGGCTCTCCTAGTGCCACCAAATAAATCTCCAATCACCCTCCCTAGGCATTTAGTTTTGTTATAATTGCCCAGGCTTTAAGCATCTCTCCTCACCAAGAGTTACTACCTGATGTCCAGATCAGGTCTAGAAAAGAGGGAAAAAACAACAAGGCTGAGAGACGTCTGTCTCCTGTATGCCCTAAGGTTTTCAAGCACCTTCCCTGGTCCTCTCAGAGAAGCGAAGTGAGACTCAGATCAGGAATCTTGGTCTACCCTTCTTGGTGCAAATTCTGTGAATTAAACTATGGCACTACCTCCCCACACATGCCTGTTCATAAGCCTGATTGGATCAGGGCTACACACAGGATCAGGCTGAAGTGGGTGCAGAGGAGAACACCAAGACTCCAGGAACTTGTGGGGTGGCAGGGCTGAGCAACGTTGGGTTTTGTGAAATGCCCCAGCACTCTTAACATGATTCAAGCCTCTTTGAATGACTGCCTGTTGTTTACACCAAACAAGCCCAAAGGCAGTCAGTACCTTGCCCTTCTTTCTGGGCCTGTGCATACTGGGCAGTGGTCCCCTTTACACAAGAGATTTGGGGTGTTTGTGATTTGGTGTTCTATTTTTAATACAAAGTAAAACTAGTGATCACCCTGGTCAAGAGGGTGAACTGAGCTGATGTGAGCAATAACCTGCCACCCCAACCCCTCACCACCCACCACCGCAACTCCTAACCAAAACGCTAGATGAAATTTTTTTTTTTTCTTTTTGTCTTTTTTACTGACCGGCAACGGGATCCCAGTCAGTACCTTGCCCTTCTTTCTGGGCCTGTGCATACTGGGCAGTGGTCCCCTTTACACAGGAGATTTGGGGTGTTTGTGATTTGGTGTTCTATTTTTAATACAAAGTAAAACTAGTGATCCCTGGTCAAGAGGGTGAACTGAGCTGATGTGAGCAATAACCTGCCACCCCAACCCCTCACCACCCACCACCGCAACTCCTAACCAAAATGCTAGATGAAATTTTTTTTTTTCTTTTTGTCTTTTTTACTGACCGGTAACAGGATCGCAACCCTCGGTGTTGCACCCACACCGCGCTCAGCCAGTGAGCAGGAACCAGTCTCCACATGGGATCTGAACCCTCGGCGGGAGCACCGCCACGCT